TAATGAAAAAGAGCAAGTTGAGAAAGTAAAAATATGAAATGTACAATTTGAGGAGAAAAGCACCAGGAAGGAGAATAGAGCTAAGTTCTGTTTTCAAAGAGATAAATAAGAAGTGGATTAAAGGGAGTGTGACCTCAAGGCTAGATCACACCCAGCTAAGTTTCCAACTTGTGAAAAGAAATCAAAGAAAAGCTTAGAGCCAAGTCTGGTGGTGCAGGTCTTTAATTCTAGCACTGGGAATGCAGAAGAAGCTGCCAGATCTCTGAGTTTGAGGCCAGTCTGGTCTACAGAGCGAGTTCCAGGACAGCCAAGTTTAGGCAGTGAAGGAATCCATCTAAAACAGAAAGTTGGTGAAGATATAATTGAATTAGCAGGCCATGTTCCAGCCCCAGAAAGCAGCAGAACTTGGTAGCTTTGGCCCTGTGGTTCTGGATTTAGAGTCAAGGATAGAAGAAAGGAATTATGGAATCTCCCTTCATTTCTATGGAAAGCTGTGGAGACCAGGCATGTGTCAGGAGTGTCTCTGAATGGAGGACTAAAGAGATTCTTGTGTGAAGCTGTGAAGGTGAAGCCTGGATTTCATTGAAAATCCCAAAATGTTGGCGATACCAGGGTCATTGGATATCTGCCAAAGAAAGCTGCTAATGTGGAGTGGAACCAGCCCAAGAGAAAGAAGTGTGTTGCAGTCAACAAAGCTGAAAGAAGTTGGAGATCTGAAGAGCATTTTGATACCAGACATGGAGATGCAGAGTTTGGAGTTTGGCCAGCTGGTTTTCTGTCTGCTTTGGTCCAGTATTTCCTTACTGTTCTTTTTTCCCTATGTTTTGGAAGGGTAAAGTTTATCCTATTTCATTGTATGCTAGAAGTATGCAATCTAATTTTTTATTTTGATTTTATAGGAGATTACAGTTAAGAGATTTCATAAATTTCAGGAGAGATTATTTGAAATGCGGACTTTTAAACAACTTTGAGACTGTTATATACTATGGGGACTTCTGAAATTTGACTAAATGCTTTCTTGCCTGTTGGAGTCAGAAAATTGAATGTGGTGATTTGAATAGGAATAACCCCATCGATTCATATGTTTGAATGCTTGGCCCAAAGGGAATGGCACTATTAGGAAGTGTAGGCATGTTGAAGTAGATGTGACCTTGTTGGAGGAAGTGTGTCACTATGGAGGCGGGCTTTGATATCTGTATGTCTCAGTCGCCTACTGCTGCTGTGGATTAAGATCTAGAACTTCAGCTCCTTCTCCAGCACCATGTCAGCGTGCATGCCATCATGCTTCCTGCCGTGGTGTTAATGGACTAAACCTCTGAACTATAAGCCAGCTCCAATTAAATGTTTTCCCTTATAAGAGTTGCTATATTCATGGTGCTTCTTCAGAGCGGTAAAATCCTAACAAACACACCTTGGGACTTGGAATATCTCAGGTTTCCCTCCTACTAGGATTCCCCGGACCATTGTGCTCCTCCTCCTTCCAAGGGACTCTGAGACTCCTAGTGTACTGAGGGAACTCAATTGGATCTCCAGAAATGTTGTAGATATTCACCAGAGAAGATGACTAGGACATGGGTTTAAGCCAATAGAATGTCTTTAGTAGCTGGCCTGACACTACACTGAGTTCTCAGGATCCCAGTGTAGCTCCATGCTTCTTTCGGAATGATCCTTAAAGCACAAGAACTATGTTGACATATTCCAGTTAACAAGAACAGTTAGAAGTGGAACTGCAAAAGGTAAAAAGCAAGGTTAGTGCATTTAGAGACTTTTCCATAACTGAGGACATTGATGGATTAGGGCTTTTTAGTTTTGGAAGACGGTGCTGTATATGTGCTAAGTTTTACAGCTTGAATGACACTTCCATCATAGAGTCAGTTGTGCTAAGGTAAGGAGACCTATTAAGGTATAGGACCCTGTTATACTGCTGAGATGAAGGCGTATTCTTTTGTGTTTCAGTGAAATGTTCTATAAGTATCACTTTAGGTCCATGTGGTTCATAATGTCTGTTAGCTCCAGTGTTTTTCTATTTAGTCTTTGTTTAGATGACCTGTACATGGGTGAGAGTGGGTTATTGAAGTCTCCTACTACCACTGTGTGAGGGTCAATATTAGATTTAAGCTGTAGTAGTGTTTCTTTTGCAAATGTAGGTGCCCTTGTGGTTGGGGAATAGATGTTAGAAATTGAAATGTCCTCACAGCAGATTTTCCTTTGATGAATATCTAGTGTCTTTCCCCATCTCCTTTGATTAATTTTTCATTTGAGGAGCATCTCAAACATTTTATATGCTTATGGGCCCATTGGATAAGCAATGAGGCCACATTAGTTATTTTGTTTTTTCTTTCTGTGCTGGAGATCAAACCCATGCACTTCACACATGAAAGGCAAATAGTCTGCCACTGAGTCAGCTTTTATACAGAATTTCATTCAACCAGTCATGATGACTCACACCTGTAATCCCAGCACTTGAAATGCTGAAGTAGAAGGATCTCCACTAGCTTGAGGCCAGACAAGAACATTTAATGAGACCTTGCTGCAAAAATACAAAACAATTATTTCCTCATTATAGGACCAAGATCTCAGCAAGGCATATGCTATGCATATTCTACAGTGTGTCATTGAGAAATAAAGCACAGAGTGAGTTGTCTTAGGCCACTAGGAAACCAAGTGGTGACACCTGTTACATGGTTAGACTTTCCATTGGCAAGAGTTAAAAGACTTTAAAACTAATCTGTCACTTTCATTTCATTTTTGCCCTTCAAGAAGTTGCCATATATCTCTGTATTATACTTTGATTTAATCAGTACATTTAATTAGCTGAGCATGAGGGCTCACTTCTGTGATCCTAGTATTTTGGAAGCAGATAGAGGAACTTCAAGACCACCCTGGTCCAAATAGTGAGTTCCAGGCCAGCTAGAGCTACAAAGAGAAACCCTGTCTCAGGAAGCCAACCAAAAAAATAGAGATGTGTTAAGTATAAGAGTGAGGCCATCTGTGGGTTGAAATTTGACCAAATAGTGCTGGTGAGATGCCTCTCTATCATATTGTATCCTGGGTACTTCAAAATTTTTGTGGCTAATTTCAGTCAACTAATCCTTGACTCTGCCCCCTGATTCAAGGTTAACTTCATTACCAGCCTCAGGGTGTTACAGTATGATCAAATATCTCACAACAAATATGTTCAGATACCTGAGCTTTGAGACACCGGTCATGAAAAGTAGCCAAAGAGAGAGAGAGATGTATGAGAAGGTGCAGAGAGAAAGAAGCCCCAGGTATCTGACATAGAGCTGCAGTATTTGGTGTTTGCAACTGCAGGGTTTCAGTCTTGACTTGTTCTGATATTTCCTTAATTCTTTGAAAGGGAAATGTGTATTCTTTGCCATTGTGTGTTGGGCAGATATAATTTGTGTTTTGATTTTATAAGATCTCACAGTCAAGAGATTGCCTTGTGTAGCTGAAGAAACTTTGGACATTCAAATAGTGTTGGGACTGTTACAAAATATGGGATCTTTGAAATTAGACTAAATGCATTTTGCAGCATTGTTTGACTGACACTGTCATGACCTATGCCAAAATGTGGGTTAAATGAAAAGTCTCCTAGGTAGTATAATGTATTTGAGCTTTTGTGTTTGATGTGTGGCCTTCTTTGGTGGTTTATGAAACTCTTAGGAAGAGGAGCCTTTCTGGAGGAATGTCATCTATGGGTAAGGGCTTTGAGTGTTTATACCACCACCACTCTTCTTTGTGTGGCTGAAACTGAGTAGCACCATTCCTTCTCATGTAGCCACGCCATCACCAGCATTAGAAACTCCATTCCTAAATAATGTAAGGCAAAATAGAAGCAATTGCATTTTCTTGCTAATGCATTACATTTGCCTGATATTTTTATGTTTATATTTTTAGCTGATTGAATTAGGTTTTAGTACATGTCAAGCATTTGCTCTTGTGCTGAGCTTTACCCATACGATGACTTTTGAACTTTGGCAGAAGGTGTCATTTTTCAGACCAAGAATGCAAGCATTCATGAAATTAGTAATGATCTCCCAAGTCACTGATTTGTAGGTGTGTAACATTGTCCCCACCTTTGTGTATGTTTTAATTTTTTAAATTTTTTGAAATGTGTGAATCTTGTGCCTATATATAAATGGATGTGTACCACTTGTCTTCCTGGTATTTACTGAAGTCAGAAGAGAGCATTGGATTCTCTTGCCCTCAAACTAGGAAAAGTTGGGTCCCTCCAGTGAGTGCTAGCAACTGATCTAGGACCTCTTCAAAAGCAGCAGGTGATCATATCTGTTGTTCCAGCTTTATAAACTTCATCCCTTTTGTTGTTGTTTACTTTACTGTCATAGAATCACCATTTACTTTACTAACGTTTTTGAGAATTCTTTGATCTGTAAGTCAGTGACTTCTTAAAAATACTTTCCTTTCTAGGAATTATTAGCCTAACAGTTTAAAAGAGGTCACACACCTGTTTATGATAGACAGTTACAGGATTGGGGTGAATGTTTAACTCCACGGAGGAATTTCAAGTGAGCCCCCTGAGTGCTTTCTGTTTTTTTGAGACAATGTCTCACTATGTAACTTTGGCTGTTCTAGAAATCTCTACATAGACGAGACTGTCTTGGAAATCACAATCTTTGCCTCCTGAGGTTTGGGATTAAAGGAGTGCACCACCACATCCATATTGTCTCCTTTTTTGAAGTTAGAAATTTTGATAAAATATTGCTGATGTGTACTAAATAGTGTTATTCTGTTTACATGTCTTTCTGTATATATTAATTACTAGGCATTTCTCCTGCAATGCCATATTCTATTCAGTGGGCACAGAAATGGAATGTATCATCCTCCTTTTCTGTTTCCTTCTAAAATGAATTGGTTACTGCATTTGAAATTCTATGACTCATATCACAAAATTTTGTAAATATATTCCCAATGAAGTGTACTTTTATAATGCAATCAGTCTCACCATTTCTATTATGTACTTATATGGGATATTTTAGGATGCAGTGACCTATGAAGATGTGCATGTAAACTTCACTCATGAAGAATGGGCTTTGCTGGATCCTTCTCAGAAAAGTCTCTACAAAGATGTGATGCTGGACACCTACTGGAACCTCACTTCTATAGGTAAGAATTTGAGCTTTCTATCACTTTTTAACTTAAGGGAACAAGCTTTTCTTGGAGATTTTTAGTCTTCTGTGATTTTCAATGTGAAGGAGTAAGAATCTGGTGAATGAATCAACCATTGTTCTAAGGTTCACCAAAGATAGTAATTTCAATTGAGCCTAATTTCCATTAATATATCATACATATTCTTGTTTTGTATTTTAGGCTACAAATGGGAAGACCACAATATTGAAGAACATAGTCAAAGTTCTAGAAGACATGGAAGGTAATTTTCACGTGTAAGCTAATACATTTATACCTCTGAAGAAATGTTAATGAACCCTTAAGTTTTAATGAAAAGCAGCAGTGTAAATAAGCACAGCTTTGTGGTGATTATTAAATTCTCACAATGCATGTAATCCAATGTCAGGTAGCTGAGCATTGTTTGCAAAGCATTCCTTTAAGAAACAAGAGAAGGAAGTGACACCATAATAGATGTCACAATTTTAATTATTGACCATATGACAGGCATGTTGTAGAACTGTCCATCCACTTAGTTTCATACCATTCAATTATCTTAAAAGGTATACACATTGATAAGGTGATTAGTGTATGTCAAAGATCTTTTATATGCAAATCTTCCATATTAAAGCTAGTGTTCCTCAAGTATTTGTAGTGAGTGACTTATCATAGTTTAACAAGAGGCACAGTTTATGAGACAGGGAGGTTGTCATGGTAAAGAAAGCTGAATCCCTATACCACATCTCTATGAGGCACAAAAATTTAGACTGTGAATACAATGTGAAAACCTTTCATTTGTTATTCTTCCTTAATAGGTATATCATCTGTCACCCTGGATACAAGCCATGTGAACATAAGGGATATGGAAAGAAACATTGTAGTTCTGTCTCTCCCAGAACATTTAGAAGATATGTGGTAGTCCCCACTATGAGAAGACATGATGACTGTGATACAAGTTTACAATTAATTGGTTTCCCAACTTCAGTGGCAATACCTCAACATACTCACATTGGAGAAACACCTTATGATTACATGGAGTATGGAAATTCATGTGTCTGTACTGGATCACTTTGCATATGTAGTCTTATTTATACTACAGGAAAATGTTATGTATGCAATCAGTGTGGTAAAACTCTGAGTTCTTCCAGTTGTCTTCAAAAAAGTAAAACAAATCATATACAAAAAGGAAGTAATAAATGTGGACCTTGTACTAAAGACTTTAACCATCACAGATATTTTCAAAGATACAAAACAACCAATGATGAAGAAGATATTTATGAATGTAAGCAACATGATAAAAAACTTATATCTGATTCCTCTTTAAAAGTACACAAAAAACCTCATTTGGTAGTAAAACCCTATGAATATAACCAAAGTGATAAAGCCTTTCCATGTCACAGTCTTCATCAAGTACATAGAACTAACATTAGAGAGAAAAAGTATAGTTATCATCAATGTGATACAGCCATTTCACATCCCAATTATCTTCTAAAACATGAAAGAACTCATAATGGAGAACAACACTATGAATGTAATCAATGTGGGAAAGCCTTTGCAGAGAAGAGTACTCTTCACAAGCATGGAAGAAGTCATACTGGAGAGAAACCCAATGAATGTAATCAATGTGGTAAAGCCTTTGCACATAAAAATCATCTTCAAATACATGACAGAAGTCATACTGGAGAGAAATGCTCTGGATGTAAACATAGTGGTAAAGCCTTTGTATATAAAAGTCATAATCACAGGCTTGAAAAAAGTCATACTGGAGAGAAGCCCTATGAATGTAATCAATGTGGTAAAGCCTTTTCACGTAAAAGTCATCTTTATATACATGAAAGAAGTCATACTGGAGAAAGACCCTATGGATGTAAGCAGTGTGGTAAAGCCTTTGCATATAAAAGTGTTCTTCATAGGCATGAAAGAAGTCATACTGGAGAAAAACCCTATGGATGTAATCAATGTGGTAAAGCCTTTCCATGTATAAGTGATCTTCACAATCATGAAAGAAGTCATACTGGAGAGAAACCCAATGAATGTAATCAATGTGGTAAAGCCTTTTCACGTAAAAGTCATCTTCACAGGCATAAAAGAAGTCATACTGGAGAGAAACCCTATGGATGTAATCAATGTGGTAAAGCCTTTGCATGTAAAAGTGATCTTCACAGGCATGAAAGAAGTCATAGTGGAGAGAAACCCTATGGATGTAATCAGTGTGGTAAAGTGTTTGCATATAAAAGTCATCTTCACAGGCATGAAAGAAGACATACTAGAGAAACCCTATGGATGTAATCAATGTGGTAAAGCATTTGCACAGAAGTGTCTTTTCACTCAAGAAAGAAGTCATACTGGAGAGAAACCTTATGAATGTAGTCATTGTCATAAAACCTTTGCATGTGAAAGTCATCTTCAAATACATGAAAGAAGTGATAGTGGAGAGTAATCTGATCCATGTAATCAATGTGGTAAAGCATTTGTATGTAAAAGTGATCTTCACAGACATAAAACGATAAACTGGAGAGAAACCCTATGAATATAATCAATGTGGTAAACCCTTTTCACTTAAAAGTCATCTTCAAATAAATGAAAGAAGTCATTCTGAAGACAAATCTTGTGTGGATATAGTCGATGTGGTAAAGCTTTTCAACTAGTTTTATTCCAACAATATGGGAACACAGGATAATTTGAAGAATAAAACCTATTTGCAAATTAACATAATATTTTTGGTATCCTCTATTATTTTTGGATTATGTGACATTATTTTGAGGACTAAATACCTGATCTTTACATTTTTCTCAGATTCACAAATGAATGCCAGAGAATTTTATCAGTGGGTAAACGTGGTTGCTGCTAAACCTGATGACCTGAGTTCATTCTCTGGGAAACCCACATTACTCATACAAGATTTTCTCTGATTACTACACTTAGGTTTTATGCACATCCACACACTAGCACATAAATAGTTTTGAAATTGAAATAAGGACTAGTGAGTTCACTCACCACCTTAGGCCACTTACTGCCAAACTTGACTACCTCAGTTCATTCTCTAGTGCTCAAACAGATAAAGTAGAGAATAGAAACTTGTAAGTTGTCCTCTGACTGGCACATCCACACCATAGCACTGCTATTTACATGCATTAATTTTTGTCTGTTTGTTTTTGAGACAGTTGTATAGCTCTGACTCTCCTGGAGTTTTTTCTGTATGTCATGGTGACCTTGAACTCTCATAGATCTGCCTGCCTCTGTCTCAAGTTTGGGGACTAAAGGCATGTGCCACTACTACCCAGCCACAGTTAAATTTTTTTAAAGGAGGAAACTTACAAAGCTAAGAATTTAATCAAAATATTGAGAACATAGTATATGATTTACCCATTGAAATTAATTCATTGAAAAATTTCTAGAAGTATTAGTATTGAAAGAAAAGATGCTTTCTGTTTAAATCTTATATTCTTTCAGTGTCTGATTCAAAGATAGGTCATTTTAAAAAATGTCACTTTGGTGTAGTGCTTCACGCTTATAATCCAAGCACTTGGGAGAGGAAGGTCGATCTCTGCGTTTGAGGCCAGTCTACACTGGATATTGAGTGCCTGGATGGCCATAGGTATATAAAAAGATCCTGTCTCAAAAAATCCAAAATAGGTATCTGGAAAGATGGCTGATTTTCCAAAGGATCCAGGTTCAATTCTCAGTACCCACCCTCTTGATGATGACTTAGGAGGGCCTGTGGAAAAGCTAATTTCATTTACCAAATCCTTCCTAGCCTCATGAACTAGGATTGTTATTTCCAGTGCAATGTCAGCAAAATCAAAATGTTTGCCATCTAATTGTGCACTAACCATTCTATAAAATTATAGGAGAGATGTTATTGGACTGTCATTGTATATTATCATGAGAGATGAAAATAACTACAGGTATTTGAATTCTGACCAAAACAGACATTTTTGTATCATGTGGATTCTTTATTGCCTTTAAACTTATTTTTCCCACTAAATTGTCTCCCATGGGTATTATATCACAAGCGCTTATAAACCACTGAAATTGATTTATTTGCAGGATAAAGGTCAGAAATTACTGGATAGCCAGTGGGATCTCTATAGCCTGATTTGTCTTTGACAAAATATCACATTGCTGCACTGTATTGACATTATGTTGAGTGCACCAAATGAGCAGGAGGTAGTAGCCACAAACTCATTGCTAACATATATGAGCATCAGAGGATGGGACTTAACCAAAATTCTAAGTCCTTCTACCTGGTTGAAATTCTTAAGAGTCCAGTGCTGTGTCACATGCAGAGATAGTCCTTCTAATGTGAAGGACAAGTTATAACACCGGGTCCTTCCTACCACCAAGAAAGAAGCACAATATTTAGTAGGCCTATTTGGATTCTGAGAGAGCACATTCCTCTTTTGGTTGTGTTATTTCGGCCCATATAAAAAGTAGCTTTGTGTAGGACTGGGAACAAGAGGTCTTCAATTGGTTCTGGCTGCTGTACAGGCTTCTCTACCACTACCAATAGTACTTGAAGTATCAGTGGTAGATAACAATGTTCTTAGGAGCCTTTGTAGTTGAATCAAAAAAAAGACCTTTGTGATCTTGAAGCAAGACTCTACCACCTTTAGAGACAGTTGTTGGCCTGTTATTCAGTCTTAGTGGAAACTGAACATTTGATGTGCCACCATATTATGCAACCTGAGCTGCCTTCCCATCATGACCTGGGTGTTATCTGACCTATCAAGTCATAAATTAGGGTATAAACAACAGCAATCTGTTATCAAATGGAAGTGATATATTTGTGATTTGGCCAAGCATGTCCAGAAGGCAGAAACAAGTCACATGGAAAGTTGCCCAAATGCCAAAGGTTTCTACCCTTATTACAATTCCCTCTGTTGATAAGTATTTACCTATAGACTCAGGGAGGTTGGTGCGGCCCAGTAGGGTTGGGGCCAGAGTGTTGGGATGCTGCTATGGATGCATGGACAGAGGCTGGTCAGGGTGGTGTCAGGGTGGGGGTAGGAACAGAGGCTAGTTGATGCTGGAGACTTGGATGAGGGTTGAAGTTTGGGGAAAGTTGGAGGAGGATTGGGAGGGACAAGGTCAAGTGGAACATACATCAAGTGGGTGGAGCCAGTGTAGGCAGGGTCAGCTTGAGCAGGGCCACATCAAAGGAGGGTCCAGCAGTGGGTAGGGCAGAGGCTGGAGCAAAGAAAGGAATGGGGACTACAAGTGAAGCATTGGGTGAAACTAAGGCGGCGGCTATGCTTGATAAGTTTGGCCAAGTCTCTGCCAGTGCCAGGTCAGCCTTGACATACAAGAGATACAGGCAACATGATGCATTCACAATACCTCTGCCACACCGAACTCCCGAAAACCAAAACTCATGAAGACTTCTCCAAATATACATGTAAAAATGCCAGCCGTGCTGACACATGCATCTCAGTGCTCTACACCAGTCACACTCTACATACCACAAACATATAGTCCTATGTACAGTTAGAGTCAGCAAGATGGATTAGCCAATAATGTGGCCTACTACCAACACTAGTGACCTAACTTTGCTCTTCACGTGATAGAAGGAGAGAACCAGTTCCCAACTTGTCCTGTCACCACCACCTATGCACTGTGGTCTAAGTGCATTTGCCTGCAGATACACACGAAAGAAATAAAAATCTGATAAAAAAAAATCTTTACAAGTACACAATTGCACAAACATCCACAGAGATGATCATCTGTTTTGGAAGGTACTGGGATTCGAGCTCAGAGCCTTGATCATAATTTGCTCCACCTGAGATGGGGCCAATACAGGGCTGGGCACCCTGCCAGACCACATGACCTGGTTTCAGAGGCAGCTGGTGGAGGTGGGATTCAGGCAGGAAAGGACAAGAGCAAGGTCTTCACATGACTGGCTCCTGCCACTAGGCTCTCCTTAAGGTATA